AGTACATGCTCGCATTATTTTAATAAGTTTAAAATGGAAAGTAATTACACTATTAATAACTGATTATCAAGTTTGACACTGAAAGCAAAATATCCTCTTGCCGTTGAAGGAGCATGTGATGGATCCTGCGTCATACGGGATTTATGTGGTTGATCGGCGGTTTAAGGACTATGAAGGTACAATACGTGATCTGGCACAAGTGCTGTACAACTTTTGTGGGCTTTCGCGACGTCAGCGCATCATAATGCGTAATCGCACAGAACGACTCAGCGAACTACTGGACTGGAAGAGTTTAGGAATATTTTACAGGTTCACTTCATTTTCACCAGACTGCTTTCTTGCTCTAAACCTCTTGAGAAGTTTGTAACTTGAAATTGCGATGTACGCAACTTACTGTATAATTAGAGCAGAGTTTTTTTTAAATAATTCATGTATTTACTTCGATTCAAAATTTAAGTCATGAGAAAAAGTGAATGATACGAAGTAGACATTTCATCAATATCATAGAAATGTGCTGAAGAATGAACAAGCCAAGTGATATAGATATCTGGTTACAAGATTTCATTTTGCTGAAACTAGAAGATTCTAAATGAAATCAAAAAGCTCGTGTCTTATCGAACTGATTTACTCAAGTGGATAATTCTTTTTTCTAAAGTTCTCACCATCTTCATAGCTATGTGGTATTACAGGAATGCACGAAGGATGGCATTAGAAAGACTGTATACAAATCTGAATGAAATAATCGACAGAAACATTGGTACCGTACCATCAGCATCACAAAGTAGAAGGCAAAGCTTTGTAAGTTCTGAGGAGGAAAATGACTAAAAGCATGCAAAGTATATTGTTAAGAAATAATAGTAATGTATTTTTTACGAAAGCCATTACTTGATTAAAAATGTTTTGGCTATTACCAAAACATTTCAAAGTTGTCACCGTTGTAAAAACCAAACCCTTTCATTTTGAGCTTGTTCTTAGCATTGTTTCCTTGTAGACTGTACCTCATCGACCAGATTTCATTCTGATCCTTGAGGAAAAAATGTACCAACAAAATAACTTTATCAGGAATTTTCATGGTGGAAGCTTTATTGTTTAAGCGTACCCTTTCCCTCTAATGTTATTTTTGTTTAGAATTTTGATAATCGTATGTTCATGCACTT